CCCCAAAACCCCAAAACCCCAAAACCCCGCCGACATTAGATTATCATTCAAATCAAGATTATGAAATTAAATTTTAGCTGTTCAAATTTCACTAATTTATTTTGAATTAACTTTAAGACCTTGTTTGTGATCTGGAATCATTTAGCTTTTTAATGACTTTCTACTATTGCCTCATCTACTTTAAAATTCTATCAGATATAAGTGAAGTTCTTTTCAATTATTATCTTTCAGTTTCTATGATAGATTTTTCTCCTAGTTTTCTGGAAATTTCATACTAGTTTTAATAGATCTAATCAATATTCTGTTCCTTTTAATGAATAATCTATATTTATGATGTTATTACCTGCTATCCAACTTAAGGATTTTATAATTTGCTACCATTAAAATCCTGATTAAGATCTTTTTAATCATTCAATTTAAGCTAGTTTTGCTTCTTCAGCTGAATCATTGTCTTTGATAGTCCAATACTTCCTAAAGATCTGTTTCTTGTCAGATTTTACTTCTAAGAAGTATTTATTTTACTTATTTGCATTTCATTTTTTTAAGTTGATTACTAGAGATGCTGAATTGGATTTTTCCTATGTTTTATAATTGATTTTTAATTTGATGCTATTTATTTACTATTTTTATTTATTTAAGGCTAAAACTCTCCTTTATTTTTCTTTTTACTTTGACTTCTCTCCTTTATTGAACCTAGATTAAGTTTTTAAAAGCTAATGAAAGGCTAATAAGCCTTCTTAATTTCATCCAATTCATTTATAAATCTGAGTTTAAACTCTCCAGTGTTTGAAATGTAACCATATGGTCTGTTAACATAGTATATATCTTGGTTACTGTCTTAGCTTTCATTCTAATTTTATTAATAGAGACCATGAATTATGAAAAGGAAATTTATTATGTTTTAAAAGCTTATTCCTTCTAGCCCATTCATTATTACTCTTAGACTATTCCAAACATTCATTACTAAGTTTATCTCTTAGATCTTCATTGGCTTGATTGAAAATAAATCTTAGTCAATGTATTTTAATTTCTCAAATATCATAATAAGCTGATCTAGAGTCAGCAAAGTAGTAACCTTAAACTTTAAATTAGCATAGATTGTCTGAATATCTTTCAATATTCTATCTTATAGTCTAAGTTATGATGATTTACTGCTTGCTATTGAGTTATTTGATTAAGATCTATTAACCAACGAACTTCTCTAGATTGATCTTCTTTCAAAATCTTTCCACAATCATTGGACTGCTTCTTTCTGTTTGGCTATATTAATTTTTAAGTCTAATTCCTGGTCTTTTTATTACTTTTCATTAATACTAATTGTGCTTTTAGATTTTCTTAAACTATTATTTCTTGATTATCTCAAAGGTTCTTGAGATAATCTAAGATTTTCATAAGGTTTACGCTTAGTACTAATGCAATTTCTAAAGTTCCTTAATTCATCATATTCATTTTGAAGCTAGACATGCCTATATAAATTTAATTTTCTATCTCTTTTTTCTTAATATTCAATCATTTAAGAGTAAAATTGATCAGCGCTTCTCAACTATCTATCTTGATGTTGTTTGGTAATCTCTGGATGAAATGAGCACTCTCTTTTAATTTAGTTTTATATCTCTAAATCATTAAGAGCTTAAAGCTGATTTCTCTACAACGATTGCTTTAAACTCTAGATATATAATTCATCAAATATTGATGCATGCTTCTTTCTCTCCATTTCCATTATTTTTTCTCTTTAAATATCATGTAGTGAGTTGATAGTTTGGAGCTTTTCCCTATCATGTTTATCTTTAAACAGAGTGTCATTATTGAAACTTATGTATGAATGGATGGAGAAATTATCTTAATTGCTTTACATTTTATCACTATTACTGAATATATTCTGATCAAAGTGATGCTCATCTCCATCAGCTCGCTATATCTTAATATTGTTTATTTGACTTGAAAAGGGGCTTATACTACTCCTAAATTATTCAGGAATGTCTTACTTATAGGACTTCTATTTATATTAGCTATTTAGAAATATGTCATTTTGAAATGGCTGTTGATTACTACTTTCCTCCTCGATATATGATTTTCGTTAATCTTTTAGATAACTGCCAATAAATGCTTGTTCAAGCGTCTCATCACTTTCAACATCTTCATCCGTCTCTTGCTTCCATAAAATCACAGAGCCAGAGTCTTTATTTTTTGATTAATTTTTTTTGATTGACTGCTTCTTTTTTGACTATTTTGCCCTATTCTCAATATTTTTTGGGCTTTTCTCAATACTCTAGCTATTCTAAGATATTGATCTATTCAGACTATTTTAACTATGTTTACTTGATCTAGATCGTTGCAGTATTTCTCGATAAATTGGGCCTGATTTATCTTGAAATACAGTCTAGTTCTAATTTCTCTTATAAAAAGATTCGTTCTTGTTCTGCTTATTCAACAAGAGTTATTACAAAATTTTAACTTCATCTTTTGGATTCCAAATGCCAGACAGACTTTATTGACTTTCAAGTAAGACATTTGCTTAAGTTTTAATTGCTAAATCAAAGTTTAATGAAGACTATAGATTTTTACATTTCTAGGCATTGATTTGAGTTTAACTTGATTCATAAACTGTCATTGAATCACTATTCAACCCGGATTCATTTAATGAGAGATTATCTTCTATAACATCTTATGATTCCTTTTTGGTAGCGATTTGTTTAAAGAGATTTAAATTTTTCTGCTTTGAATTCATATGTAAACCTTCATTAAATTTTTGAAATTGACTCATTGTTTTATTTTGATATAATCTGTTATTTGAGTAATTTTATTATTTTAATACTACACGGGGTTTTGGGGTTTTGGGGTTTTGGGG